TAGGGCACCGACTCTGGACTGGGGGATTATATTCTATATCTGGCCCAATAAAGCCATCCAAACAAAAAAATTAACGTGTGGTTTGTTTCCAAAAATTTCTTCTTTGGTATTAGGAAAGTATTGCAATGTTTCAAATTGGACCCTCTTACTCTCTGCTAAAAACAAAACCAAAACTTAAAAACATAGAGTTAATTCATTGAGCAAACAAAAATGCACTTTTATCCAAATTCCTTTAAAGGGTACTAGGCCTTTTAAATCTAAAACAGATAGAATAAACCATCCAAAGAAAATGAAACTAATACTTTATAATGTGCCTTTTAGCCTCACTGCCTTTTGAAAATTTTCTTTTGCTAATTGCAATTCGTGGTTATAAAATTAATTCTGTGTCATTCTTTAGCAGTCAATCTGGTTCATGAATTATCAGGTATTAACATGAAATAATTTGTTTATGAAACAGAAGGGTCACATACATAAATGTATCTTACTGAAAATTATATTTGATATACAATTTTAACCACTTTTACTATTTATACTTATACAATTCATATTATCTACCAAGGCATTCACATTCTTCTCGTGGACCATAAAACAGAGCTGATCTGTTAAAGATATTTGTAACATGACTTACGAGCCAAGATTTGACCAAAATTTTTTTATGGAATTTGAATATATTTTTAATATCCTACCCTTTTTGCCCTGGAAAACAGAGTTTAACACATGGAAGCTAGGTGAGTATGTGATCAGCTCCATGTTCACTCATTCAGTAAATATTTATTGAGCACCAACTCACGCCAAACACTGTGCTGCTTCTGAGAAAACATCTGGTAGCAGGACAGACATAATCTCTGCTCTTAGAAAGATGACATTCTAGTGGGGGAGACAGATTTTCTTTCAAAAACTTCATAAATGAATAAAATATTTACAAATCGTATAATGAAGGAAATGTGTGAGGTGCTAAGATAGGGGTTGGTGCTGGGAAGGTGCAGTTTCAGTAGGATGGGACAGAAAGGATGAGAAAGAACCAGCTATGTGAAAGATGGCGGGGGTGGGGTACATTTTCTCCCCATCTTCTCACCCCCTCCCCAAAGTGAAAATGTAACTCTCCAACCGGATACAGTGGCCAATGACTATGGCATTGCGAGTTCCTGGTGGTACATTTTTATGCATGGTATAACTATATATGTACTGTGTGCAGTGTAGTTATGGCATAGGATGGAAATAAATATATCCTCTAACCACTATAAAAAACTGTCGAGGAAAATTGTGAACAAAGAGAATTACAGTTTATACAAAGGTTCCTTCCCACAAGTGGAATTGTGAGTCAGAGGCGGGACAATTCTACCACAGAGGCTGAAATAGAAGCCCTAGTTTTAGGACGTAAACACAATCCCGACTTCTTTGGGGTGAGTTGAATATACCATGATCTGCAAATGAGAAAGGAATACAGGATGTCAAAAAGAGGGAAAAGTTTCTCAAGTGGTCATGACATCTTTGCAATTCTAAATTTTGGGAGCCACTGCCCCCTTCCCCAATCCCCTATCCTTGGGGAGACAGGGCCAGGGAATGTAGTGTCTGAGCGCTTAGCCACTAGAGGGAGAGAGTGTGCCTCTGGCGATTAGGGAGCCAATGAAAGGAATTCTGAAAAGGATAGGCTTTCAAGGGAGCTAAATTAAGCTCTCATCAGCCAGGGGCAAGGACTATTTCAGTGGTGGTGGCTTGGGGGAACTTGAGGATGATACCTTAAGATTTCACAGTGGATCCTCTTCTACTAAAAAATTAACTTGCTTAAACTATTCAGATATTTCATCTTAATTTTGAATGTTTTAATTCATCCTTTCTAAGGACCTCCATAACTTTGCAGATACTTAAAACACTTAGGCTTAGTTTGTAGGAGGGACTTAATGGCAATTCAGAAAAGTTATTTTACCCTTCATATATTAGGAATTTACATAGTATGAACAACATTCCAACTTTTTAAGATAATTAAAGATCAAAATCTTTGCTAATTTAAGATTAAAATCTTTGCTATCTATGGGATGATTAGAATGATTTGTGGAGTTCCATGTTCAGTTTTTCCCAAATATGGCTTTAGGAAAATCACTTTTATTTAGATAATTGACAGACATTTAAAAAAAGCCCTACTTTACCACTACATAACTCACAGGAACTACAATTTTTGTTAAAATTGTCATCAAGTTGTTGCTAGCCTGAGCCCAAATGATTTGCTCTCCAATGAAAATTGGTTAAACTTGTTTGCAGTATGGCACCAACTACCATTTTCCATAATTTAAAAACGAGCCTACTAGTACAATTGTTGTTTACTAAATACAATGTATAAAATACACTTTTAAAAACTAATTCATTATCAAATTGAAATATAGTATAATACAAGTCATATGGTATCCATTATTTATTGTACATCAATGCGAATGAATTCCTACTACACCCCAAAATCTAAAGAAATTTCCCAGACATATAGAGTGGTGGTTTACAATATAGTTGCTGATTTTACTTTCAATGTATGATTTCTCTTTCTCCAGCAGGAAAAAAAAAAAAAAAAAAAAACCTCGGCAACTATTTCTGGGATTTTTGAAAGGAGTAGGAGGATGGTGCTCGCTCCTACTCTTTCGGCATCGATTTTCTTCACAATCTGTGATATGGTTTCTCAGAAATGCTGTTTGGCAGTCCTGATAATTTCATGTGTTTTCAAACTTAAGCCACCCAGACTACACAGTTCAGTATTTTCAGCTCCTTTCATTTTCCTTTTCCCTTTAATTATAGAAGTCTCTATTCCCTCTTTTCGCAAATGCGGTCAAGAGAGATGCTAAATGCTACTATTTGTAGAAAGAACATGCATTTGTTTTTCTCCTGACGATCCATAAGTTCCTCCCAAATAAAAAGCTGTAACTCATTGATGGGCGACACCTTACTCCTAACAACTTTTTGGACCCTCCCCGTTCCTTTGACTTTGGTGGATGTGGCACATGCCCTGGGGGGGAGAAAAAGCAAGCAAACACTCTAATTTTAAACTTGCACCGTAAAGCACTTTCCAGATAGTCAGAGTGGAGCTCCATCTCAGACCTGAATTTCCTTCTCAATCCATTCCCGAGGATCCCTCGATCCTGATTCGCGTCCTGGTCCACTGGGTGCCGTTTGCTGAAACTGCACCGCAGGGTGTTCCTGCGAAGCCCGAGTGGGTGGGTCCACGCGCACAGCCGGGCTCCGGCCAGGAGCGATCCCGGAGCCGGGCGGCGGGCGCCCGGTCGCCGGCCTCCCCGCCGCTCCCAGACTGCGAGCGAACTTCGCGCGGCCGAAATGCGCCTCCGCGCGCCGCTGCCATCCTTCCTCCCCGGCCGGCAGAGGAGGTGAGGTTTATG